AGGCAGAAAACAGGCAGGCAATAGTTGGGAATTAGGAGGGAACCAGGGCAGAAAACAGGCAGAAATCAGGCAGAAAACAGGTAGAAAACAGGCAGTTACATATGATCACGAGGCAGAAAACAGGCAGGCAATAGTTGGGAAATAGGAGGGAAAAAGGCAGAAAACATGCAGAAACAGGAGGGAACCAGGATGGAAACAGGCGGTCAGCAAACTTAGAAGCACTAACTAATAAAACTAACTAAATGATGAACTAATGTGGCTGCTGGGCGGGCCAGCCGTTGCCGTGGTTACCAGGGCGCAGTAGTCCACGTCCTCCCGCAGCAGGTGGCTGTCGTTCAGGGTCCGCTTGGCCTTTCCCGTCACGGCGTCCACCGGCCCTTTGTCCACCTGGTACTTTATGGCCCTGTACAGCATGTAGAGCGGCTCCCCGGCCACCTCCTGCAGGCGAGACCAGGTGAGACCAGGTGAGACCAGGTGAGAACAGGTGGGACCAGGTGAGAACAGGTGGGACCAGGCCAGGTGAGACCAGGGGAAAGCGGGACAAGGCCAGGTGAGAAGAGGTGAGACCAGGTGAGACCAGGTGAGAACAGGTGAGAACAGGTGGGACCAGGGGGGACCAGGCCAGTCGAGACCAGGGGAAAGCCGGACAAGGCCAGGTGAGAACAGGTGAGACCCAGTTGAGCCAGGTGGGACCAGGTGAGAAGAGGTGAGACCAGGTGAGAACAAGTGGGACCAGGCCAGTCGAGACCAGGGGGGATAAGGTGGGACCATGTAATACCAGTTGGGACAAGGTGAGACCAGGTGGGACCAGGTGAGACCAGGTGAGACCCGGTGGGACCATGTGAGAACAGGTGGGACCAGGGGGGACTAGGTGAGAAAAGGTGGGACCAGGCCAGGTGAGACCAAGGGGTACCAGGTGGGACCAGGGGGGACAATGTGAGACCAGGTGAGACGAGGGGGGACAAGGTCGGACCAGGTGGGACAATGGGAGACCAGGTGATACCAGTTGGGACCAGGCCAGGTGAGACCAGGTGA